TCACTAATGAGTGTAAGGTGATAAATAATAGCAAGTGTCAGGCGCAGGACACGTTCCTGCCCCAGATATTGTCAAGACCTGGGTGAACCAGTACATGTAAGGTCAAGACAGAGAAGAGAGAGAGGAGAGAGAGGAGAGAGAGAGAGAGAGAGAAAAGAGAGAGAGAGAGAGAGAGAGAGAGAGAGAGAGAGAAGAGAGAGAGAGAGAGGAGAGAGAGAGAGAGAGAGAAGAGAGAGAGAGAGAGAGAGAGAGAGAGAGAAGAGAGAGAGAGAGAGAGAGGAGAGGGATTATATTCAAACGAAAAACACAGGAGGAAGATTAGGAGAAGGAAGAAGATTGGTGTGGGGGATCGTGGGGAGTCGTGGGGGTCGTGGGGGGTCCTGGGGGGTCCTGGGGGGTCCTGGGGGGGTCCTGGGGGGTCGTGGTGGGCCTTGGGAAGACTGTCCCCAGACACCCATCTTGCTAATGACAACCGCAGATAACTCCAGCCATAACAAGATAACGCAAGCCCTTGACAATTGTACTGGTGGTGACCTGTATCTGGCGAGCGTGCGATAACACTTTGTTGACAGATTGTGTTATCATGTCCCTCTGAAGACAGTGATAACACCACGGTGTTCTGAGGCAGGTCAGATAACCAGGTCATCTTGGAAAATTGACTCTCACACCTGTGATAGATTGACGAGGATATTAACTGCGGCTGGTTGATTGTATGGATGGATGGATGAATGGATGGATGAATGGTGAGACGGATGACTGGAGGGTTCGATGGACGCTAGATGGATTGTTGGGTAGACAGTTGGATGAATGGATGGATGGATGGGTGCTGAGAGGGATTGTTGGGTGAATATGTGAGTGGATGAGTGGTTAGATGGATTACTGGGAAGATGGATGGATTGATAGGTTGTTGGGTAGTTGGTTGATTGCCCGCATGGATGAGTAAAAAGAATGAATACATGATTATAGGAGATACGCTAATAGTAGTGTGGATTGATGAATGGAAGGAAGGATAGATTCATAGAGCTGTGGGTTGGCAGTTGAATATTGGTAGACTAGTAGATGGATGCTTGAGACTGTGTGGACAGGTGGAGAGAGGGATAATTATATTTAAGATAGAATTGAGACACTTATGCAACACAAGGGAATCTTTATTGAAGAAACGTTTCGCCACACAGTGGCTTCATCAGTCCAATACAAAGTAGAAAAGGGTAAGGAGAGGAGAAGTTTGAGGTAATCAGTCCCTCAACCTGGAATCGATGTGTTCAGTCCATCACTCTTGTAGGAAGTGCAGCACAGGGCCAGAGAGGTGGCTTATATACTGCGGTGAGATAAGTTGAAGCAGGAGGAGGCGGGATCACAGTGGGACCTGCCACCATTCATCACATATATTGAAGATAGATGAATGGCTACATATATGGATAGATAGAAGGGGAGAGGGAGAATAGATGGTTTGAGGAATGGATTGCCAACCTCTGAGAGATGTGAAAGAATGGTTCACAGAAGGTAACACACACACACACACACATACACACACACACTCACATACACACACACCACACACACACACACACACACACACACAACAACACACACACACTCACATCACACACACACACTCACACACACACACACACACACACACACACACACACACACACCACGCACACACACAAACACACACACACACACACATACACACACACACACACACACACACACACACTCACATACACCACACACACACACACACACACACAACACACACACACACACACCACACACACCACACACACACACACACACACTCACTAACTTCCTCACTCACTAACTTACTAACTTTCTGATTCACTAACTTTCTGATTCGCTAACTTCCTCACTCACTAACTTCCTCACTCACTAACTTCCTCACTCACTAACTTTCTCACTCACTAACTTTCTCACTCACTAACTTTCTCACTCACTAACTTCCTCACTCACTAACTTCCTCACTCACTAACTTCCCCACTCACTAACTTCCTCACTCACTAACTTCCTCACTCACTAAATTTCTCACTCGCTAACTTACTCACTGACTTCCTCATTCACTAACTTCCTTACTCGCTAACTACCTCACCCACTCACTTTCTCACTCACTAACTTCCTCACTCACTAACTTCCTCACTCACTGACTTTCTCACTAACTTCCTCACTCACTACTTTCTCACTCACTAACTTCCTCACTCACTAACTTCATCACTCACTAACTTCCTCACTCACTGCCTTTCTCACTAACTTCCTCACTCACTAACTTCCTCACTCACTAACTTTCTCACTAACTTTCTCACTCACTAACTTCCTCACTCACTAACTTCGTCACTCACTAACTTCCTCACTCACTAACTTCCTCACTCACTAACTTCCTCACTCACTAACTTCCTCACTCACTAACTTCCTCTACTCACTAACTTCCTCACTCACTAACTTCCTCACTCACTAACTTCCTCACTCACTAACTTCCTCACTCACTAACTTCCTCACTCACTAACTTCCTCACTCACTAACTTCCTCACTCACTAACTTTCTCACTAACTTCCTCACTCACTAACTTCCTCACTCACTAACTTTCTCACTCACTAACTTCCTCACTCACTAACTCCCTCACTCACTAACTTTCTCACTAACTTCTTCACTCACTAACTTCCTCACTCACTAACTTCCTCACTCACTAACTTCCTCACTCACTAAACTTCCTCACTCACTGACCTTTCTCACTAACTTCCATCACTCCACTAACTTCCTCACTACTCACTAACTTCCTCACTCACTAACTTACTCACTCACTAATTTCCTCACTCACTAACTTCCTCACTCCCTAACTTCCTCACTCACTAACTTCCTCACTCACTAGCTTCCTCACTCACTAACTTCCTCACTCACTAACTTCCTCACTAACTTTCTCACTAACTTCCTCACTCACTAACTTCCTCGCTCACTAACTTCCTCACTCACTAACTTCCTCACTCACTAACTTCCTCACTCATTAACTTTCTCCTTTACTAACTTCCTCACTCACTAACTTTCTCACTAACTTCCTCACTCACTAACTTTTCTCACTAACTTCCTCACTCACTAACTTCCTCACTCACTAACTTCCTCACTCACTATAACTTCCCTCAACTCCACTACTAACTTTCTCACTAACTTCCATCATACTCTACATAACTTCCTCACTCACTAACTTCCCTTCACTCACTAACTTTCTCTACCCTTACTAACTTCCTCACTCACTAACTTTCTCACTAACTTCCTCACTTACTAACTTCCTCACTCACTAACTTCCTCACTCACTAACTTCCTCACTCACTAACTTCCTCACTCACTAACTTTCTCCCTTACTAGCTTCCTCACTTACTAACTTTCTCACTTACTAACTTTCTCACTAACTTTCTCACTCACTAACTTCCTCACCCACTAACTTACTAACATTCCCACTCACTAACTTACTCACTAACTTCCTCACTTACTAACTTCCTCACTCACTAACGTCCTCACTTACTAACTTCCTCACTCACTAACTTTCTCACTCACTAACTTCCTCACTCACTAACTTTTTCACTCACTAACTTCCTCACTCACTAACTTTCTCACTCACTAACTTCCTCACTCACTAACATTTTCACTTACTAACTTCCTCACTCACTAACATTTTCACTTACTAACTTCCTCACTCAATAACATTTTCACTTACTAACTTCCTCACTCACTAACTACCTAATTGGCCAACTGATTGTATGATTCTCCTACGTGAAGATGATAGATTCTGTGTTCAATGTTCAGGATCCTGCAAGATGGAAATGTTCACTGTTCAGGTGGCTGTGAGACAGAAATGTTCATTGTTCAGGAGGCTGCAAGATGGAAATGCTCAGCGTTCAGAAGGCTGCAAAATGGAAATGTTCATTGTTCAGAAGACTGCAAGAGGAAAATGTTCATTGTTCAGGAGGCTGTGAGATGGAAATGTTCAAAGTTGAAGAGGCTGTGAGATAGAAATTTTCGTTGTTCAGGATACTGCAAGATAGAAATGTTCATTGTTCATGAAGCTGAACGATGGAAATATTCAATGGAATGTAACAACAATTCCTGCAATTGTTTACATGTAAATTCCTAAGATTTAGGGCGTTTGAAGAAGGGGAGGAATGGAGGGGAAATTGAGAGAGAGAGAGAGAGAGAGAGAGAGAGAGAAGAGTGGGGTACGAATACATATGAAAAGTAAGAGGGAGTTTTGGAGGGAGAGGTTTGGAAAAGAGGAGGAGAAGAGAGGAGGGAGGAGGGAATGGAAGAATGGCCTCGTCCGAAAAGCAGAGTTGATAGTGGATCAAGGACCACCTCACAATACTCGCCTGACTCTAGCTTTGCTATTCTTCTTCAAGACCCGCCTCAATAAATCCTATCTCTGCAAGCCCGGGCTAATGCCGTAAATCCTTCATTGAGACGGTCTGCGAGACACTTGAGAAGGCTCAGGTCAGGGAGCGTACCCGGTTTGAGACGGCAGGCTCATGAACCTTGATTGAAGTAGTTGTATTACAAGTGTGAGTGCGATATGAAGATGATTCTTGCTAAGTTGTAGCTCTTCCCTCTCTCTCTCTCTCTCTCTCTCTCTCTCTCTCGCTCGCTCTCTCTATTTGGGAAAAGCGGCGGCAGCCTCCGTTCTCTGTGATGCTCCCTGAACTCATGCTCTCACACCCTCGTCTTCTGGGGGGATCAATAGTGCCGAATAAGCTCGAAATTTGAGAGAAACTCTTGCGGCAATGTCGCAACTTTCCACACCATTTGGTTGATCTCCTGTGCGCGGGTGGCCATGTTTACACAGAACTGGCGGGCGCGGGAAAGGTTGTGACCAATCACAATGGAGTGGGCGGGGCGGCGCGCCGTAAAACAATGCGGTGATTGGCCTGCCTATTGTGCCGCGTGACGTAATCAATAACCACAGCCCGCCAACACTGACTCCTTACAAATGGCGACTTTGTGAGTCAAGTCAGTGTGGCTAGAGAGCCCGAAAAGGTAACATGGTTGGCGTGCAGCTGTTGGCGGGCGGAGATGTTTATCACATGGCAGCGAGGCGCTGACAACACTCCGTCTCTCACCGCCCTGGCGGTAACGTAACACTTGCTGACTCCTCCTCGCCCACCTCCCCAGCTATCTCGAACTCACTTTGTGCCGCGTTTTGCAAAACTTTAGACTATATCTGGGTGGTATATATGATATATGAGCGGGACTTACGAGAGTTAGGCCCATCGAACTCACTTCGAAGACTTTGCCGCTACACGCTTGCCCTCGCCGTCGCCGCCTCCGTTAGCGGCAGCGGCAGGACTGGGAGTATCCCTGCGGCTCCCACAAGACAGGATGAGCGCTAAGGACTCCCACGTGAAGCGGCCGATGAACGCTTTCATGGTGTGGTCCCGCGGACAACGGCGCAAGATGGCGCAAGACAATCCTAAGATGCATAACTCGGAGATCTCCAAGAGACTAGGTAAGCCAGAACTACTTTCCCGTCTCCTATTCCTCTGAGGTCTCCAGGACACTAGGTAAGCTAGAAGTACTTTCCCGTCTCCTATTCTTCTGAGGTCTCCAGGAGACTAGGTAAGCCAGATGTTCCCTCGCGTCTTCTTCCTCCTCCAAACACATTATCAAAAATTGCATTATAAAAATATTGGACTTACTTCCCAAGTAACCCACGTTTGATTTAGATTTAGAAGTACGAACTTCATTTGTTATGAAGCGTCTATACAAAATATATTTTTATGTATTATTAATTTTGCATTACCCGAAAAAGATGATAAATAATTATTTTTGGAACGTAGCAAGATAACGATGTGTGTTGAGACACTGAGAACTGAACAATAAATGTTTGAAAATTATCATTCATTTATCCCAATTCTCGTGGGTTAAAGTTTTCATGGTATTTGTACACAGGTAAAAATGCAGCTTTAGTCACCTTCTTACTGTAGATAGGCTTCAAACCCAGCAACCATCTAGGCGACTGAAACCACAGTCACAGCACTTACTAGAGGCCACTGCCAAATCGTGTTAGTTGCGTTTATGTCCAATTTTAGGCACATAGGCTCACGCGAGTTACGTATATATATATATATATAATATATTATATATATATATATATATATATAATATTATATATATATATATATTATATATATATATATATATATTAATATATATATATAACAAGAGGTGTATCATTCAGTGTATATATAACGAGAGTTGTATGCCTAATTGCGTATGTATATATACTGAGCTTCATATTTGGACGTTTTGCGAAGATCTGCAAGTTTACTGACTTTTTAAATTTCAACTACAATATGCATAAAAATGCCAAGATTGATGTTATATTGTGTAGCAACACACACACACACACACACACACACACACACACACACACACACACACACACCACACACACACTCACACACACACATGCCTATTTAAGGGCTCAAAGAATCCTTGACTGTTGGTGAACAGGTGACTTGTGTCCTCGTGTAATACAAGTGCGGCTTTATTTAAAGTGGAGATCTAAATCCGTATGGGCTTTTCAGCGTCAGGAATGCTTGAGGCTCGACCTTCCGTCCTTAATGTGTTTTTTGTTTTTTGTTTTGGTGAGTCATAAGAGGACACTGCCCTCAAGGACGGTACCTTCATTCCTGGAAAGTGATCTTGATTTGAGGATTTAGAGTTGCATTCACCTTCCCTGGATCAAGCCTGATTACCTCCCACGGGTTTAGCGCTTTACCGTTAATAAAATGTTAAGGAGCTAATAGTTGTGTCTGCCGGGACGCTTGTGCTTGGCGGTAGCTATAGTGGTGGTAGTAGTAGTAGTAGTGGTGGTGGTGGTGGTGGTGGTGGTGGTGGTGGTAGCGAAAGTGGGGATGGTGGTGGTGATACTTATGGCAGTGGTACTGCGTCCCTCAGGACACAAGACAAGTGTCTCCTGACACGGAGGATGGAGTCTGTAACACAGACACACACGTCTGGCACCTGGGCTGACCTAACATATTTTCCTGCTTTTCCACCTTACCTGGCCGACTTAACTTATCCTGCAACGATCGCTCGTCCATCAGCACCAGTGAAAGTAACTTTCTTAGTAACCTGGCTAAAATCACTGGAAAAAACCACGTAACTAATATAATTAACACCACAATCTAAATTTAATCTAATCCGAGATAAATTTGGTTGAATTAAGCTGTATTGCATTCCGCAATATTTTGTTAAGTTGCAATGTTAATTTTGATGGAACGTCGTAAATTTCAGTACTAATGTTAACTCGTCAGTTGTTAAATTTTTCGATAAGTCTTTTTATATATAATAAATTTAATATGCCAGAAGCTTCCTGACTCCTATTCGTTTAGCGCTTCCCTTTAAAATATATATATTATTAATATATATATATATATATATAATATATATTATATATTTTATAATATATATATATTTATATATATATAATATATTATATATATATATATAATATTATATATATGTATATATATATATTATATAATATATATTTATATAAAATTATATATATATATATATATATATACATATATATAAATATATATATATTATATATATTTTAAATATGTAGGTAGTAGGTTGGTAGACAGCAACCACCCAGGGAAGTACTACCGTCCTGCCAGATGACTTTTGAAACAAAAACCTGTAACTTTTTTGCATGATGTAGGATTGTGGTTTCTTTTTCTGTCTCATAAACACGCTAAGATAACAGGGATATCTTGCTACTCCTACTTACACTTTGGTCACACTTCATAGACACGCACATGAAATATAAAATATATACATACCATCTAGGTTTTTCTCCTTTTTCTAAATAGCTCTTGTTCTTTTTTATTTCTTCTATTGCCATGGGGAATTTGGAAAAGAATCTTTCCTCCGTAAGCCATGCGTGTCGTATGAGGCGACTAAAATGCCGGGAGCAATGGGCTAGTAACCCTTCTCCTGTATACAATTACTAAAAAAGAGAAGAAGAAAAACTTTATAAAACTGGGTTGCTTAAATGTGCGTGGATGTATGCGGATGACAAAAACAGATGATGCTGATGTTATGAATGAAAAGAAGTTGGATGTCCTGGCCCTAAGCGAAAAAAAAGCTGAAGGGGGTAGGAGAAGTTTCAGTGGGGGAAATAAATTGGATTAAATCTGGAGTATCTGAGAGAGTTAGAGCAAAGGAAGGGGTAGCAGTAATGTTAAATGATCAGTTATGGAAGGAGAAAGAGAATATGAATGTGTAAATTCAAGAATTATGTGGATTAAAGTAAAGGTTGGATGCGAGAAGTGGGTCTTAATAAGGTGTATGCACCTGGAGAAGAGAGGAATGCAGAGGAGGGGAGAGAGATTTTTGGGGGATGTTAAGTGAATGTATAGGCCTTTGAACCAAGTGAGGGGGTAATTGTGGGTAGGGGACTTGAATGCTAAAGTAGGAGAAACTTTTAGAGAGGGTGTGGGTAGGTAAGTTTGGGGTGCCAGGTGTAAATGATAATGGGAGCCCTTTGATGAACTTTGTATAGAAAGGGTTTGTTATAGGTAATACATATTTTAAGAAAAGAGGATAAATAAATATACACGATATGATGTAGGGGGAAATGACAGTAGTTTGTTGGATTATGTAAATTTGGGAGATAAAAGACTGTTGAGTAGATTCAGGATGTACATGTTTATAGAGGGGCCACAGATATATCAGATCACTTTCTAGTTGTAGCTACACTGAGAGTAAAAGGTAGATGGGATACAAGGAGAATGAAAACATCAGGGAAGAGAGAGGTAAGGTTTATAAACTAAAAGAGGAGGCAGTTAGGGTAAGATATAAACAGCTATTGGAGGGTAGATGGGCTAATGAGAGCATAGGCAATGGGGTCGAAGAGGTATGGGGTAGGTTTTTAAAAATGTAGTGTTAGAGTGTTCAGCAGAAGTTTGTGGTTACAGAAAGTGGGTGCAGGAGGGAAGAGGAGCGATTGGTGGAATGATGAAGTAAAGAGAGTAGTAAGGGAGAAAAAGTTAGCATATGAGAATTTTTACAAAGTAGAAGTGAGCAAGGAGGGAAGAGTATATGGAGAAAAAGAGAGAAGTAAAAGAGTGGTGAAGCAATGTAAAAGAGAGCAAATGAGAGAGTGGGTGAGATGTTATCAACAAATTTTGTTGAAAATAAGAAAAAGTTTTGGAGTGAGATTAACAAGTTAAGAAAGCCTAGAGAACAAATGGATTTGTCTGTTAAAAATAGGAGAGAGAGTTATTAAATGGAGAGTTAGAGGTATTGTGGAAGATGGAAGGAATATTTTGAGGAATTGTTAAATGTTGTGAAGATAGGGAAGCTGTGATTTCGTGTATAGGGCAAGGAGGAATAACATCTTGTAGGAGTGAGGAAGAGCCAGTTGTGGGTGTGGGGGAAGTTCGTGAGGCAGTAGGTAAAATGAAAGGGGTAAGGCAGCCGGGATTGATGGGATAAAGATAGAAATGTTAAAAGCAGGTGGGGATGTAGTTTTGGAGTGGTTGGTGCAATTATTTAATAAATGTATGGAAGAGGGTAAGGTACCTAGGGATTGGCAGAGAGCATGCATAGTTCCTTTGTATAAAGGCAAAGGGGATAAAAGAGAGTGCAAAAATTATAGGGGGATAGTCTGTTGAGTGTACCTGGTAAAGTGTATGGTAGAGTTTATAATTGAAAGAATTAAGAGTAAGACGGAGAATAGGATAGCAGATGAACAAGGAGGCTTTAGGAAAGGTAGGGGGTGTGTGACCAGGTGTTATTCAGTGAAACATATAAGTGAACAGTATTTAGATAAGGCTAAAGAGGTCTTTGTGGCATTTATGGATTTGGAAAAGGCGTATGACAGGGTGGATAGGGGGGCAATGTGGCAGATGTTGCAAGTGTATGGTGTAAGGAGGTAGGTTACTGAAAGCAGTGAAGAGTTTTTACGAGGATAGTGAGGCTCAAGTTAGAGTATGTAGGAAAGAGGGAAATTTTTTCCCAGTAAAAGTAGGCCTTAGACAAGGATGTGTGATGTCACCGTGGTTGTTTAATATATTATATAGATGGGGTTGTAAGAGAAGTAAATGCGAGGGTCTTGGCAAGAGGCGTGGAGTTAAAAGATAAAGAATCACACACAAAGTGGGAGTTGTCACAGCTGCTCTTTGCTGATGACACTGTGCTCTTGGAGATTCTGAAGAGAAGTTGCAGAGATTGGTGATGAATTTGGTAGGTGTGTGCAAAAGAAGAAAATTAAAGGTGAATACAGGAAAGAGTAAGGTTATGAGGATAACAAAAGATTAGGTGATGAAAGATTGAATATCAGATTGGAGGGAGAGAGTATGGAGGAGGTGAACGTATTCAGATATTTGGGAGTGGACGTGTCAGCGGATGGGTCTATGAAAGATGAGGTGAATCATAGAATTGATGAGGGAAAAAGAGTGAGTGGTGCACTTAGGAGTCTGTGGAGACAAA